TCGTCATGAGGATACTGGATCCCATGGGCATTATCCTCGGTAAAGTAGATCAGTTCTTCGATCCGAGGTCGCTTGGGTGGGTTCTCTGCTTCATGCTTTAGTTCTCGGAATGATGCTCTCCCAGCCGCTATTGTGCACCCTGCTACAATCAGCTTCCCCCACGATGGATCAACTCTTCAATTTCGTCGCAGAGGTTTCTACAATTTTCTGTGATGTGACCATGGTCCCAATGAAAGTGACAATAGACGTTCGGGTTCTTGGTCGTTGGGTTTCCATGGAGTCTGGGTGGCCATCTAATGATAGAGGAATCCTTGATTGCCATTAAGATGTCTCCTCGCTTCGTGTTCAAGGGAGTATAGTTCATCCTCTCCACTGGAGGGGTCCTGGAACGCTGACCCGACCTGTAACTTCACGAAGGGGATTTGCTCCTCAAGTTCGGGGACTTGCATCTTCACTTACTTACTTTTTTTTCTTTTCTTGTTGTTCATCCCTTCTTCCTCCCTCTTCCTCTTTTCTCTTGGCTGGTTGTTAGTTTTCTGGTTTATCTCCTCTTCAGTGCTAATAAACTAATCTACCAACTTGAGGAACTCGGTGATGCTCTTTGGTTTGTTGGCTACGGCGTGCCACTTGAACTCTTTATGGGTGATGCCTTTGCGCACTGCGGTTAGACGTACTGCTGGGTCAAGGTCCAGTATTTGTAGGCATGCCTCGTTGAAGTGTTGGATATAACTGTGGATTGACTCTCCCTCCCTCTGCACCACATTCAGAAGGCTCTCCTATGACTTTAGGCACTTCTTACTAGTGATGAAGTGGGTCGTAAACATATCTGCGAACTGCGCCCAACTTCTGATGGAACCCGACGCTAGGTTTTTGTACCAGGTCTGAGCTATTCCTTTGAATGTGGTGGAGAAAGCCACGCACATACAAGCCTCGTTGGCCCCAGCGAGGTGCATCTAAGACTAGAATCCGTCCACGCGATCATTAGGATCAAAGGACCCATCGTACTTGTCTAGCGGTGGGACCTTGAAATCTTTCGGCATTGGGGCCGCTAGTAGCTCGGGTGACAAGGGAGAAGGCCGGCTCAAAAGAGCAGGCATTGTTCCTATGGCCATTGAGCTCACCTCCTCTCTTTCCTGACCTTGATCTGCAAGATGGCTGGGCTTTGCTACTGGATCATTTCTTGTTGATGAATGGCGAGTCTTGCGACGTTGCCGCTGTTGCTTTTTCGATTAAAAGACATTCATACTGCCGGCCTTCGTGTTGTCAGGCACTTCGATCTTACTTCGAATAGTAGGGCGAGCTGGTTTAGAGATTCTCCTCGCCGCTTCCTCTTCGTCGTGCGTTCGATGCTGGATGCTGCGAGGAACCAAGGGGGCTCGCTTGGAGCTTGCACCTCAGACCTTGGGTCGATGCTCCACATGGGAAATCTGCCGGCTACGCCTCTCGGGCTGGCTGGGTTTGGGCCTATTCTTTAAGCTTTCTCTTCGGGAAGTAGGGGGAGTATGTCAGTCCTCTACAACACCCTGGGGTGGGGTTCATCCCGAAGGGGGGACCAGTACCTACGAAGTTCTCTCCTTGCAAGGAGAAGACTGGCGGGTGTTCTGGCGTTGGTTGTTCGCCGCCTGGCTTGGTTGCACTGGTGGGAATTGTTGCTGATATTGTTGATAAAAATAATACTGCTATAACTAATGAATTTGCTGCATTTGAATCTGCATTGTCTGAACGCTCTGGACAAGGTCGCTGAACTGGGAGTGCTTGATCCCAGGGGGAATCACGGAAGGCTCCGAGAATGTGGCACTCACCTGGGGGAGCGGGACACTCACCTGTTGGGTAGTGTGGGGTGCGGACAATGATGGGACCCCGGATGCGATCAGAGGAATGGTGAACTGGTCGATTGTCACCAAGGGTCCTTGAGGAGCGACTATCTGCTGCTCTTGCCCCTAGTGATATTCATGTTACCCTTACCGTTGTGGCTGGATGATGCCATTGAGGCTGAGACTGAGTATGAGAATGTAAAAAATTGGGTTGACCTTTCGATCATTTACCACAAACGGTGCCAATTGATGATGCGCAATCTAGAAGCTCCTAGATGGAGCGTTGCCTGGACATACTTGAGTGATGAGTTGGAGCAAACTGCAAAACAGTGATCAGAGTGACCGGGGTGGTCGCTCCGATGCTTAAGTCAGTATTTTGTTGTGGTTGCGAGCTAGTTGAGTGCTAGAGAGCTTGGTTGCAAGTAATTGCACGTTTACTTGGACTATGGAGGGATTGATGCCTTTATATAGCTGAGTTATCGCGTGTTTCCTGAAACAGTCCCGAGATTTGCGGCCTAAATGGATGAGATCCGTTTCCGCTTTAGTCGGGGAGTAGCGTATCAATCAATGAACCTTATTGTCGCCGTCCGATCCGGGCGGGGAGAAGATAAGGCTTGTCGTTATGCGGTATGATCCCGTAATATTCGGAGTCTGCTGGGAAGCTACTGGAATTGATTACGTGTCACTTCGGTTCTTGGGCCCCAAACTCGATTAGGCGCCGAGATGGCTTTATGTTGAGGTGACTTTATGTCAAGGTGGCCAAACGACCAAACTCTACATACTGCTGACTAGGCTCCCCTTGCTGAGTTGTCATCGTACAGGCAGATCGTGTCCATGTGACCTTTATTTACTAGGTCATGCCAAATTACCCCTCATTAGACCCCATCAGCAAGGCTTAGGCCTTGAGTTAATTGAGGGTTACACCTTTGGGCCTTTGGTCTCAAAATGTCCAAGGCTTGGGCATCAACTATTCAACTTGCTAATGTGGAATATGAAGGTTTACTAGGGGGAAAAATAAATTTAAGACAAAAAAAGCCTTGTTTTGTATGTATTGGTGTAATGAGCAAATAAATAAACATACAAATAACACAAAAATGCATATAGAATGTGTAAGAAAATAGTTTGCTTTATTCTTACTCATTTGCCCATTTATTATTATTTTTTTATAATTCCCATTTTTTCATTTATCTCATACTTGATATTCTATTTCTTTTAAAGCCCATTCATCATATATATGGTTACTCTTAATTAATGCATATTAGTGCAAGATTGATAAAACAATGTTGGTTCATATCCCTAAATTGAAAATTTTGATAAGGAAAAAAGTAAAAAAAAAACTACTTTGGTAACCAAAATTGTATTGTATATTTGGGGTACCAATACCCCTTGTTAAGGTATTTTAAAAAAAATCTTTTTAAAAAATAGGTAATATAAAACTAACTATGTAAAATTAAAAAAAAAACTAAAAAAAATATTATGCATTTAAAAGTGTCAATAATTAATACACCATTTTCAGCACATTAGTGTGTATGGATACTTTGAACCATGAATCCATGTTTAATATATCCTAAAAGACATATAAGATCTTAATTTTATATTTTCAAGTCTGTATTGTTTATGGATTATATCTTTTTCTTTTTAGCTCAAGGCTTATGCCTCAAAACGCATTGATTCTTATGCCTCTCCCCTATGGGGCAAAATTGCCTTGCCTCCGCCTTTAGCCTTTTACAACCTTGGTGAAAACTCCATTTATCACTGTTGCATAAGCATGGGCAGTTCTAGAAACGATCAAATGTACTAGAGATTTATGCCACAAAATCGTAAATTTTTTGGTAAAAAATAAATTGTTATTGAAGGGGGCTCAAAGCTCACCATAGACTACATCTAGGGGTGTCAATGAACTAGGTTTGGATTAGACCATGTCTTAATCAAAATCAAATTGATCGGGTCAGATGGACCAATAAGATATTGAATTGGACCAGTATCCAGATTTAAGGGTCCAAAGTATTTATTGGATTGGATTGGACCTGTTCCATCTGTAATAGATTTGTAATGGATGGGTGTCAATGGACCAGGTTTGGGTTGGACCCAATCCAAATTAAAATGAATTTGAAATTTTGAACAGATTAAATGGTCAAGACACATTAAAATAATGGACCAGTCCAGAATGATCAAAAGTATCTATTGGATTGGATCGGATCGGATCTGGTCCATTTAACTCATATTGGACTGGGTCAGGTTGGACCAAAGTCCTGTCCCTTGACAGCCCTAACTAGATCACAATAAGAAGGGTCACCCCAATCTAGTTTTCATGGTATAGTGGATATTCACAAACTGATGCAAATGCAAAGAGGAAAGCTTACTTCAAATTCCAAACTAAAGAGGGCTTTGGGAGATAGTTTATGATTGTTCTTGAAAGAATTGAGGGTCCAGTTGGAATCGGAATCGGAATGATCTATTCCCATAATTTGGTTCAAACACGAATGAAAATGAAAATTGAAATCAACAGACCCCTAAACAACATATACGTAATCAGGGTAAGCTTTTGAGAGACTTTTGGGGGAATCACTTAACTATTGGATCATCATAACCATCCGGTTGGTTTAAAGAGTTTGATGAGGTAACTGGTCCAAAAAGAGTATAAATATGAAATGGCTGTTATCTTTTATTGTGGCTTGAAGAAAACAAATTAATTAAATAATACGTTATATATAGTTGAGATTGACATCTGACGACTTCATGGATGGAAAGCATTAAATTTTCGTTTCTACCTACGTACATCCTTGTTTTGAAATTTGTACAGGAAATACAAGGGCAGCTGAGATCTACAATCAAGAACGGCCCATTGAACCTCTGGTATCTGGTTTTTTGGGGCGGGATCAGTCTGAATGAAGGATAAGATCGAAACGTCGGCAGGTTGACCCGATTCAGCTGCATTATTTATTCACTTCTTCTAATCTTGTTTGAATTGGGTTTTCATTTAATGCTCCCGCCATTTCACCAACGGCTTAAGCGCGTCATGGTACTGGTACATGCACCAATTAATAAATGCTTATTAGAGAGTTAAGTAGGAGGAGAATGAGCTGGTGCACGATGACTGTAAGCTTCTTATATAAGGTAGTCGGAGTATGGAGTTGGCATACCAAGCAAGTGAGCCAAAAATCAACTTGCGTCCGGAAATTAATCATGAGTTTCTCTACCAAGAAGCTGTCTGTTCTTCTTCTCCTTCTCTTGAGTATTCTCTTCCCTCTGAGTGCAAGAACTTCTGCTGACAACACGCTCGATAAGAATAGGTTCAACGATAATGGGTGTCGTTTTGGAGGTAGGCGTTGTGGATTCGGCCATCCAGGATTTGGTCATCGTGGTGGTTTAGGTGGTGGAGTTGGAGGTGGGGGTGGTTTTGGTGGAGGTAGAGGTGGCGGTATTGGAGGTGGTGGAGGTTTTGGGCGTGGTGTAGGTGGTGGTGCAGGAGGAGGTGGTGGTTTTGGCGGTGGTGGTGGAGGGGGTGTAGGTGGCGGGTCAGGAAAAGGTGGAGGCTTTGGAGCTGGGGGTGGTGTAGGTGGTGGTGCTGGAGGAGGTGTTGGTGGAGGTGGAGGTTTTGGTGGTGGCGGAGGAGGTGGTGTTGGTGGTGGCTCTGGTCATGGTGGTGGTTTTGGAGCTGGTGGTGGTGTAGGTGGTGGTGCGGGAGGAGGTGTTGGTGGAGGTGGAGGTTTTGGTGGTGGTGGTGGTGGTGGTGCAGGTGGTGGGTCTGGTCATGGTGGTGGTTTTGGAGCTGGGGGTGGTGCAGGTGGTGGTGTAGGAGGAGGTGTTGGTGGAGGAGGTGGTTTGGGTGGCGGTGGTGGAGGAGGTGCAGGTGGTGGGTCGGGTCATGGTGGCGGATTTGGTGCAGGTGGAGGGGTAGGAGGTGGAGCTGGTGGAGGTGTTGGAGGTGGTGGAGGCGTTGGAGGAGGTGGTGGGGGTGGCATTGGTGGAGGATCCGGCCATGGCGGAGGATTTGGAGCCGGTGGTGGTGTGGGTGGAGGTAAAGGATCTGATGGGGGTCATGGAATAGGTGGAGGATTTGGAATAGGAATTGGTGTAGGTGTGGGAGTTGGAGTTGGTGCAGGTGCAGGTGCTGGTGCTGGTGGTGGATCCGGTGGTGGATCCGGTGGTGGACATTAAAACCAATGAAGTTCATAAGTCATGTATAACCATCACTTGTAGTTGTAGTCTTGTAGACGGATGCATGAAAGAGTGGTATAAGTAGCGGCTAGGAGTGTATCATGTAAACAAAGAACTGTTAATTGCTTAATAGTTATCAGTGGTGTGCCATCAATCATGTTTTGAGTTTCCAAAATAAAGAAATCTCTCTGTTTTTTTTATTCAAAAAAATTAAAAAGAAGGTTATATATTAATGAATAGTTTCAACAAAGAGATTGTCATGTAAATTTTCTAAGCAGCTTCCTCTTTTAATCTGGGAAAATTTATGACACGGGAAAGATATAAACATCTCTTCCATCTAAAATGATTCGGAATTAAATTAAAGGCTACGTGTTTTATGACAAACGTGATGAAATAGACCGTCTCCATGTGATTGCAGACTGACTGCGTCAGGGCTTTTCCGTACGTCATATATCTGCATTTACTTTATTTATTTGATTATTTGATTACTGAAGCCATGCCATCTCATCCGTTAGGCTCCGTTTGGGTTGAGGGAAAGGGATGAGAAAAGAAAAATATTCTTAAATGATATCTTTTTCCCATATTTGATTGTTGGGATATAATAGTATGGGATGAGAAAAGAGTAAGAAGTAGATCCAAAAAATAAGTAAATGGGATCCACCAAAATGGTGCGACCCTAGTGAGAAAGGAAAAATGTTAGACGCGACTGAGAAAAGTTATCAGGCTTTGCCAGGCCTGAACTCTAGAATCTCCTTTTTCCTTCAGCCAAGCATTCCAACGGTCGTATCTCCAGCGACTTCTTTGGTGATATCAAGCAAATGTAAGACCAAATCTACACTCCTCTCCTATATGTTCTTGTATATTTTGGTGGATAAGAATGTTTTTACCATAGTTGCGCCAGTCTCTGCAATGACTGATCCCATTTCATCTTCTAAACTATTTTCGGCAAGGAGAAGCTCCATTCTCCTTGTGTAAGCGAGATTTGTTAGGAGATTTGGTAGGACAGTCCGTTTTAGCGAGCAAAGGAGAAGCTCCATTTCATCTTCTTCAGGACATGCACAAGTACAAGGGTTTTCTCTGATATTCACGTTACAGTGCTGTGACGAAGGGGTTTTTTTGTTTTATTATTATTTTGAAGTGATGCTATTTGTTAGGTACAGGGATTTTCTCTAAGATTTCTTTTTTTTTGTTATTCGATCATCAAATCGCTGTTGGTTTGATCGATTTACAGTGGTGTGCATTTTTCTTTCCATTGTGACTTCCAACAAAATTGCCTATTATTTTGGTTCGATTTTAGAACCCTTCTCTACCATGATCAAAGAAGACGATGGAGCTATTACCAAAAAAAAAGAGGGAACCGATTGGTTCTTCTGAAGTGTTGACTTCATTCCTTGATTTACTGTAGATTTATCTGGGGTTAGAAGAGGGAACCGAATGGGTAGATTTTTCTGGGGTTAGAAGAGGGAACCAAATGGGTAGATTTATCTGTGTATATGTTTTTAATTTTTGGTCAGAATATAACCCCTGTTTTTAATTTTTGTCACACCTAGAATTTGAGTTAGAATCTGAGTATCTAACTAAGATTGCAGTTCTCTCTAGTAGTTCTCTATGCAGGCCCAATAGGGTTAGAAGACTCCCTTACAGCTGAAATTTCTGCTGTTCTGGTCTAAAGCTAGCTAAACATCCTAGTTTAAGGCAGCTGGAGGTCGAAGGTAACTCTATGTTAGTGACTCTAAACCTAGCTAAACTCTATGTTGGTGACTCTACAGCTTATTCAGAATTGGAATAAGCTGGAATGAGATCTCATTCCCAAGGAAGGGGGAGTGAATGGCCCTTTCCTCAAATGGGGGAATGCCATTCCACCAAGAATGGGAACGTGATTCCGATTCTGCCCAAACAGTTGGAATCGGAATGGGCCATTTCGATTCAGATTTGAGACCCCTATTCCCACAAGGCAGGCCCTAGGAGTCTCCTTAAACAATCAGCCTCCCAAAGCCTAAAGCACATTGTTTTTCTTCTTTATTTCCTTAAGCTTTTAGTAATTGATTACATTATGATTTTCATATGCACTCTTATATAAAATGTCCAACCCATGCTCTGGAAGGTTCTAGCATCTCACCTTACTCCTCTGCCTTTTAAAACATTGCATAAGCGTTACTTTTTTTTTTTTTTTTTTTTTGAGAAAAGCATTACAGATATTGCATCATACAAATCTCTCTTTAAAACTAGACAAAATAACATTTGAATCAGATTTCACACAAATCCCAGACAATTAAAATACTCTAAATGACAATAAATAAGAGCCAAGACAACCATTTTAGTTGTAAACATATCTAATGAAAGAATTCTGCAGCCACAGAACCACATTTCATTGGACAGGAAAAAAGTTTTATATAAAAATCACTTGAACATTTTTCTAGATCACTTCTCCTATTTTCTGCCACATGGAGGAATTGATAACAACTTTCATTCAAAAGAAAAGGGAAGGAATGATATGAGAAGATGCTATAATGTAGGGGCACCTAAGCTGAAAATAGGGTGATGTAGTAAACATATGTGATGCAATGGCTAGGGCTGAGAAAAGGGAAGCAACAATCATGTTTTTCTCTAGGCCTGCATAGAACTTATATATATATATATAATATATATATATATATATATATATTGTCTGATCACCATTCTATGTTATTAGTGTGATGATGCTATTAATATATACTTGTCAGGTCCGATCTGGAAGCTGTTTTAATTACAGGCTTTGATGTTATTTTTCCTTGAAAGAATGCTGAACCTGGATTGAGTTCACAACAGTACATCATCCATGTATTTTTTTATGTTGCAAAATTTTCCTTCAGCAGTACCACCATTCCAGCTAACCTCTGCAAGAGAGAGTCCACAATGCCAAGATTATGTAATTCCTATCATCCAGATCATCATTCAGATATTTTGAAGTTGGATGATGGAGAAACAACACTTAGGCTTTGACATCTTTGAAATTTGCAAGTTTAATGGCATCAAATTCTGCTTTTGAATTTTTTGATTGTTTTAGTTTAAGAGGAATTAGCCTAATTATAAAATTAATTGAAGCATGGACTTTTCATAGCTTTGATGCCTCAAAACTTGGACCCTTGGTTAGGATCTCTTGGCCTTTATTTTTAGTTTATTTGTATCAAATGTGTGGCGATTTTGATATGCAAAGAAATCATAATTACCATGGTCTTTGGCAATATGCAAAGAAAAGACCCAACATCTTAGATATGCTTTTGCATCTTACTACGGTGGAGATCACAAAACTAAATAGATTGAAATGATTTAAGTGGGGAATCCAAACAAAATATAAATGTTTGAATGAATCTAAATTTTGTTTACCAGTAAAGTTACAAAGCTCTAATCCCAACGCTTCAATGTTCACTCTTATGCCATTAAGCTATCATTCCAATACTTGCAAAATCTTGTGACGCACATATAACACAAGCCTTAAGCTTTACTGATTAATGAACGTCTATCATTAGGAATCCAACTTAGCTCTATTGTCCAAGGGCAGTAACACGACTCCGGATCTCCTGCCCACGATACCTCTGCCCCCGCCTATCCACAATACACTAGCCCCCGTGAATTGGGAATCTCTCCCCCTGCATAATACTATGCAGAGGATGAGATGTCTCTATGTATGGTTGAGATAAACATGAGCAGAGTTCTCGTGGGCAGGAGATCCAGACTCCAGTAATACAATTATATTTACAGGTTGATTGGTTGCAAAATAGGACTACTAGCTGTTGTTGCATGGGGCCATAACTTGCCATATGAAATTCAAATGGCGTGGGCCCATCATTGGTCTGTATCAAATGTGATGGTTACAATCAACATCGTTAAAATATGATTCTAAAAATATATATAAGTTGGATTACATCAACTAGTTTGGCTGTTTGGCCTTTAATTCACTTCATTAATTCATAATATGAGAGGGAAAGAAACATGGGAAAATGAATTTTCTCAAAAAACAAACATGAGAAAATGAATTTTTCCACTATTTTCCCTTGTACAACCAAACGGTGGAAAGTAAAATTTTCACACTTTCTCATCCCATCCCATCCCACCCAAACTTTCTCTCAAACCAAACGGAGCCTTATTATAATGACGGAAAAATTTATGATGCGGGAAAGACATGATATCAAAAGAGTATGAGAATCCCATTTGGTTCGGGCTACATTTAGCGGTCAAAATTGATGTGCCAAAAAGATATGAGAATCCCATTTTATGTGATTTTCGAGGATTTACTCCTCACACAGGGTGCCTTACACCGACCTCACAAGCACATCTCAACATGTATTGAAAATATCTCTTGTGAATAATAACATATAAGTATGAGAGATGTTCCTAATGCATGGTGGGATGTGCTTGTGAGGCACCATGTGTAACGAGTATTTCCGATCTCTTTTTCATTATTATTTTTTGGTTCATCTTCCTATGAAAAGATGTATAAAAAGATACATTTAAACCAAACAGTATTCATATTGTCAACATCTTCATATAAGCTCATTACATCTTTTGACTGTCCCTAAATTTTTAATATTTGGTCCATGCTTTTCCCTTCATTCCCCTTTGTTCAGTGGGGTAGAGTGACAGTTCACAAATTAAATGATGGGTATAGACGGCCTTGGAGTTGGAACCGTGCTGCAGAGAGATGAGGAAAATGAATAAGGGCTGCTCGGTCCACTACAGTCCCGTCAATGCAGGTTTGTGGGAGGAACAGTTTTCTTCGGTACCAAAAAAATATGTTGACCGAACAGTTACCTCATTCAAAACCATCTAACCAAGATCCAAAAGGACCATCAGTTCTTGATTTTTATGATACAACCATCCGATCCAATCAAGTCTTACAACACTAATTAATATGATCATTAAATCACAATAAATGTTGTATTAATAATAGGGCAAAAGACTTAAACCTTCCCTCAAGTTTACACTAAACATTAAGAACTCCCTTATATCTTTCAAAATGGACTAATACCTCTCCTGTGACACATTTTAGACGTTATATTCAACAGAATAATTCAAAAGAAAAATACGCCTGAGTAAACTTGTTTGGATAATGTACTTTTCTTATAGACTAGTAATTAAGCACATACGTTGCACGTGAGAAATTTTTCTTCATATTAATTAATTGAATTTTAGATATATCATAGTTAAGATAGAAATTGAAAATAAAAAATAACAATATGATTAAAAAAAACTTAAATATTTATTATTTAATTATGACATCATGCATTTTTTTTTGAAAAGTTGGATAATTGACCCACCATCTAGATAAGAAATAGCATTGCTTTTGGATTAGTTTTAAATTAGGGAAAAGTATAGTCAGAGCCGGCTATACATTTAAAATTTGGTTACAAGTTGGTCCATAAACCAACTCTAACAAACGACTCTACATTTCAAGTTATAAAAGTCCTCACCATGTCATCGGAGGGTTATGTGGCTATTGCCAACATGTGACTCTTAATCCATAGTCATATTTATTTGCTCAATGACTATGTGATTTGAAAATAAATAAAAGTGGTTTTTGGTTTCTGTATTTACATTCTCTATATTAATTTCTCTCATTCTCTCTCTCTACCTATCGTTCTCCCTTAATCTCTCTCATTCTCTTTCTTGGTCGATCTCTCATTCTTCCTTAATTTCTATTGTTCTCCCTCAGATTCTCTCCCTCTCACTCTCTTGTTTTTTTTTATTTTCTTATTTTCTTTTCTTACACACTTATATGGTATTAATCAGATCATATAAAAGAACATGAGACCAACTTGGTATGGTTCAAAAATTATTACACCAATTTGATAAAATTCACAAGAAACTCTTGGCTATGAAATTTACACCAATTGGAGAACGGTAGAGATTGAGGGAGAAGGAGATTTTGATCGAGAAGGAGAGTGAGGGAGAAGAATGAGAAAGATTGAGGGATAACAATAGAGAGAGGTTTTGATTTGGTTATAGACCGAAGCAGAGAGAGTGGGAGAGACAAAGGGAGCGAGAGATTGAGAGATGACTCTGAGAGTGAGAGAGAAGGAAGGGAGATTGAGAGACAGAGGGAGTGGGAGAGAAACTGAAAACCTATTTTCGATATAGGTTTTCTGTTGTATCCAACATGGAATAAGAGTCCCATGTTGGCAACAGCTACATAAACCCCTAATGACATGGCAAGGGTTTTTATAATTTGAAATGTAGAGCCAGTTTTCAAAGTTCAGTTGGTTTTTGGACCAACCTACAACCTAATTTTAAATGTACAACCGACTTTGACTATAATTTTCCCTTTAAATTATATATTTCATTTACATTTTATAATTTTTTTTTACTTATCACACTTAAATTTTGTTTGTCTATGGTACCATTTTACTCAAACTACTAACCCACCATCTAAAAATAAAAATTGTTTGATTTCTAGGTTTACATTAAATTTTGTATTACATTTCCATCATTGATAAAATTATTTCTTATGTATAAAACTTATTTTTGTTCAATATAATGAATGTGCAATATTAGAGATGTACCCAATATTTTATTTTTTATAAATATATAACATTAGATATGCACCCAAACTTTCCTCTTATCTTTTTTTATTTTATTTTTGTGATTCTTTGTATTTTCTAGTATTAAAAAATTTATTATTTGACTATAACATCATTTAATTTCTAGGTAGATTTTGAAATTTGCTTTCCATTTTCATCATTAACAAAATACTTCTTACATTCCATAGTTATTTTTTTAATTTTTTATTATTTAATTATGGTATTATTTATTAATCCATTTGACTCCAAATGGTCAAATTGCTTGCCCACCACCGGGAGGGAAGAAAATGGTTTTGTTTTCAAATTACTTTTCAAAATAATTATTCTTTTAGTATTAAATTAATATTGTGGATTTAATTACAAGAATTTAATGATGAGAAAAATATATTTTAAATATAGGATTTAATGAGAGAATAGTAAAATATTTTTATTTCCAATTGGTTATAAATTTTACATTCCATTTTCATCATTAATAAAAACATTTCTTATATAAAATACTTATTATTGTTTAATATGTATGTTAAAAATGTTCCCAATTCTTTTAATTTTTTTTTTAACTTTATCTATTTTTTTATTTTATTATTTAATCATGGCAGCATGGATTAACCCATTTGACCCAAAATGATTTAATTTCTTACCACCATTTAGATGAAAACACCATTTTTGCTAGGTAAATTTTAAAGGTATAAGCTTTTATGTTATTGGAATTATTAATTTATTAAATATGGATTTAATTAATAGAACTTAATGATGAGAAGAAATAAAAATGACTTAAATATATGATTCAATGAACATGAATGCAAGTTAATAAATTAAATGTTGGATTTAATGAGAGTGGGTTGAATGCATTGAATATCTTTAAATTACCTCTTTTCAACTCATTTAATATCAAGAACCAATTACCCTATTTGCCCTCATTTTTATCATTAAATTTAAATATAAAAGGGTAAATATTATCCTTAGAAAATTCTAGAGATATTCTTGGAAACGTTCGTACTTTTTAAAGTAGTATAGATAATGAAAGATGCAAACTGGTTCAAAATTGCAATGCTCACAAGAGCAAGCTAAATGCACAACCCACGATCTTCATCAATATCGTCGACAAGACCAACAACACTCTATACATTATCCATTACTGAAAGTGGCATTGGCATGAGAACATCTGGTCTGGTGAACAATCTCGATACCTTTGCAAGGTCTGGAAGCAAGGAGTTCAAGGAAGCCTTATCTGTTGGTTTTGATGTGAGCACAATTGGACAATTAGGTGTTTTATTTTACTCAACTTAGCAACAGAAGGATATTGTTACAATAAAGCATAGTGATGATGAAATACATTTGGGAATCTCAGGTTGGTGGATCCTTCATGGAATCACATGTCATTGGGGAAAATCAGATTTGGTCCTAACCCATGTTCTGTACACTTTCGAAGTCGCAAATGAGAAAATGGAGATGGAGGAGAGCTAAGTGGTCAACACTCAACTAAACGCTGATACAGGTGGCTAAAGCAACATGGGGCAAAATTGGGTTTCTTGAAAACACTTAACAGTAGGTGAGGTTGCATACAATTGGGTCTTCACAAAATTATAACTGAGGGGATGTTTTTGTCCCATGATATCATCGAATAGGGAGAGGCATTAGTGCATTTTAGAAGAGGGGAAATCTAAGGG